AGAAAAATGAGGACATTTCAGCATATGCTAATTATAAATAGACAGACAGACTGATTCTCATTCAGTCGTGTCCTGAATGTGACAGTAATTTTACATGTGTTTGATGACTCGCAGGTCTGGCAATGAAATGGCTATAGTGACATTTTTAAAAACAAAATGTAATATTTGTAGACAAGATCTGAATATACTCCAAACATGCATCCAAAAACTTGACTCTTTAACACCCGAGTATCAAACAGGATGTCTGACTTATAAATAAAATATTTCTCATGTTTCTGGAACAGTTTAAAGTTTCTCTCTAGCCCAAACTTGTAGAAGAGCAACGGTAACGACAGCATTGACAAGTAGCACTTGTCAATGCTTGTGCTACTGTATGATAAAGTCAAGTTGCTCATTTTACATCAGAGGCAACATACACTTTGATCTTAGATGGGCCGGACAAGTAAAAATACCCCTTTTGTCACTATAAAATGTGTTAACTACACATTAAATACCTAAGATATCTCAATATAAATACAAAAATATAATATTAGAAAAAATGCCATTTCATCTTTAGATCTAATTTTTCTACTTTTTTTTTTTTTTTTAAATGCGTTTGAGTAAATGAAAGAAATCTGTCAGCACCACTCTTTGTGTCTACATTTATAAGAAAATTCTGGTAGCTCATCGCCCAGACTGTCCTGTAATTATAAAGTTTTTGTTAATTCCCTGAAAACCTCCTGTTTTTATTACTTATGCACACATTGTGCATAAATCTGTGCACACATTCGAAACAAAAACCGTTTGCATATTATACAGTGAAAAAAAGAGTAACTTTCTATCATTTTACTGTTTATGTGTTACCTTATTACTGTAGCATAAAGTAACTTCACGTTTTTTATTTATTCGTTACCATGTTATTAACTCCTCTCCTCCCCCAGGCTGTTGCTATGGACACATACGAAAAGGGACAGCTGACCAGCAGCATGGTGGACGACTGTTTCTACATTGTGAAAAAGTGCATCAGCAGAGCTTTATCGAGTTCCAGCATCGACTGCCTCTGTGCGATGATCAACCACGCCAACTCCGTGCTGGAGTCTGACTTCAGGTCGCTCGCTCATTTTCTACCTCTTTAAAATCCTGGTTTTGTTTGGTTTTACACATTTATTACATTGACACGTGCCCCTTTCCTGCCTCATCTGCCTCTTCTCACCCGTCAGGGAGGTGTTGTATAACAAGCTGCGGCAGGGCTTCCCGGCTACAACACTGCAGGACATCCAGCGTGGTGTCAGCAGCGCGGTCAGTCTGATGCAGAGCAGCTTACAGCAGGGCAAGTTCAACACGCTGGGCATCGAGAGCACCGAAGACGCCAAGGCTGCGTTCCTGGTGAGACCGCTCGACACAGAAATACTTGCCTCACTCGTAGAGCAGTTCCTTAGAAATCTTTGTCAGACTGTAAGATAAATGAATCGCTCACATCTGCTGTATAAGCCCTTTAAAAAAGAGCTCAGCAGTAATTTAAAGGAGGAATCGAATGAATGAGCTAAGTGAGTAGCGCTTTAATTTTTAAAATGGCTCTTTGTTAAAACAAGAGCGACTTCAAAAACCTTTTTAATATCATTATAAATTGAAATTAAGAAACACTTAAAGGCTTATAACTACCAGCTGAGGCAGGAGATGTCAAAATACCTCATCTCCAGCAGATTATAGTTTTTAAAGCAGGACTGAGTCACGCTGGCTGTAAGAATCCTTCATTTGCACTCGTCCCCCACTCAGGTGACCCTGAATAACGTCGAGGTGTGCAGTGAGAACATCACAACTTTAAAGAGGAACCTGGAGGTGAGTTTGTGCCACAGCTCTTCCTTTCTCCTGTTCATCGCGTTATTTTTATTTTTCTCCCCAGAAATTAAAAAAAATGTCAATTTTCTTTCCGGTCAGAACGACTGCTCCAAGTTGTTCAGTCAGGGGGTCGGCTCTGGAGAGCAAGCCAAGATTGAGAGCTGTTTGTCCGACCTTGTCAGCACGTCCACAAAGTTCAAAGATCTATTACAGGTTGGACGTGCACGCAGACACACACACACACCACATGCTTGTCTGCACAGACTTGTATATTTTCTTAATTGGAGTGGGAGCCTCAGGATGGAGAACTGTTGTTAGACCAGAGAGCGCCGTGGAGGGAGAGCTCTTATTTATTTAACAAGTCACAGGAGATCTAGAAGCGCAGCTTTAATGAGATCTTTTAATAAAGCCCTGTTTTCGAGGAGGTGCGTGTCGTTGTTGTGTAACCCCGGGGATACTCCGGGCGTGGCTGCCTGACATCCGGCTCCAATGAAGCAGATCGCACCTGCTCCACACGGTGCTTATGATTCCAGAAAATGCATCCCAGAAACAAGTTTTTGCTTCGTGTTGGCGCTGGAGAAGGCAAAGACTGGAACAGCATAGAGCACCCAGTCAGTTACTAAAATAACAGACCTCGTGCTCCCGGGGTATCCCAGTATCCCGTGAAAACATGACAAACCCACAACCCGTGTGCTTCCAGAATAAAGAGAAATGGAAAGAACTAAGAATTTCTTTATTTATTTTTTAAGGTCGGGTATTTGTCTTTGGTTTTCTTTCACAGGAGGGTCTGACGGAGCTAAACACAACAGCCATAAAGCCTCAGGTCAAACCCTGGATCAGCAGCTTCCTGTCCATCTCACATAACATAGAGGAGGTAACGCTTTCACCTTTCTGCACACGAATAAATCAGAGGTTACAGAACGTCTTGCTGCAACTGTCTGCATCCCTCACAGGAGGAGTTTAATGACTATGAAGCTAATGACCCCTGGGTGCAGCAGCTCATCGTCAACTTGGAGCAGCTGATGACAGAGTTTAAGGTGTCTTTTAAGATTTGACTTTGTGTTTACCGGCTAAAGATACTCTTCCTCATTGTTTAGTAAACTTCTCTTCTCGTCTTCTGATCTGAACTCCCCGCCAGATGGCCCTCTCCCCGGTCATCTACGACACGCTGACCAGCCTGATGACCAGTCTGATAGCTATTGAAATGGAGAAGACGGTCCTCAAATGCTCGTTCAGCAGGGTGAGGCGCTTAGCTTGGCCACTGGGTGGCAGCGAGCTGCTTGTGCGTCACGTCACTGACACTCCCGTGAAGAAAGGCCTCCAATAATTTATTAATGAGTTCAGAAAGGCCTGTAGCAGAGGGTGCTTCCTTCTGGCACGGCAGCTTCTTCCTATTTTTGTGCACCATGTTTTTACATAACCTCTAAATAAATTATGACACAATGTAGAACATATAGTCCTAAAAAAAGAACGTTGCCATGTACGTAAAACGCACCCACAGACGTTATTTTTGACTTTTCTGTTGTAGCTCGGGGGGCTCCAGTTTGATAAAGAGCTCCGCTCTCTCGTGGCGTACCTCACAACCGTGACAACCTGGACCATCAGAGACAAGTTCGCTCGCCTCACACAGATGGCCACCATTCTCAACCTTGAGCGGGTAATTTAGACTGTTTTAGAAACACACACACCATTTATGGCGGCTTAGCACCAGTGATGGATTGTAACTAACAATGTTTTTGCTATTGGGAAATATCTATGTGACAGCTTTAGCTGCTATCCATCCATTCTCTTCCGCTTATCCAATTTAAGGTCGCAGGGGGGCTAGAGCCTATCCCAGCTGTCATAGGGTGAGAGGCGGGGTACACCCTGAGCAGGACACCATTAGCTACGAGTTGCTTTCATTAACCTGGCTTTAGCCTACCTGATACAGCAATGAAATGTGGCCTGCTGGCTTAAATGCAGGAGTTCTTTCCCCTGTATAGGTCAATTTTTGGTATTCCTTTCCCCAAAGAAGTCGCCAGTCAGTATCACGTTGTCAACTGGGATTTCTTTTATTCTTTTTGTCTCATAGCATGTTTAGAAATGACAAGAACAATGGGCTCATGTGGTTTCCACAGAGTGTGGACCACTCGTGCTTTCTGTCATACTGTTGTGAGCTGGAGAAAACACCAAAAATACCAAAAATAACTAAAGTTACTATTTCACCGATTTCTTCTGCAGGTAACTGAGATCTTGGATTACTGGGGCACTAATTCAGGTCCCCTGACGTGGCGACTGACGCCGGCAGAGGTGCGTCAGGTCCTGGCGCTCCGCATCGACTTCCGAAGCGAAGACATTAAGAGGCTGCGGCTGTAACCCTCGGAACTGGTGTGCGGGTGCCTTCGATTGCTGTGAGAGTTTTCACTGCAGAACTCTGTTTGCAGTACGGACAAGCCGAGGATTTCTTTTTATCTGAATTCTTTGGGGGGGTTCAGACCTTCTGCTCTTCACCCCTGACTGATGACAGTCTATATCATTATAGCCGGGCTTTTATGGGGCAGGGATTTTGACGAATTTGATAGGAATTAACTGTAAAATATGAGAACGTTCTGTTAAATGTTTAATTAAAAGCGTGACTGTGTAATTATATCTCAGTGGGAGTTTAACCTGTAACTGGCTCTGAGAAACGAGGACACACTGGGACTGAGGAGCGGCGCTCTGCGGCTCTCAGTGAAACAGAGCAGTAATGAACATCGTACCCATTAAACTGACAGAAGCAGGTCAGACAGCTGATCCAGCCTAGTCATTCAATATATGAATAGCTCCTTGTCTGCAGCGATGGAACACTTTTAACCTAATAAATCGAGAGCTGCTGTGCGACGCCTCTGATCCCCCGCCATCCGCCACATTTCACCGAGTGCCGCTCCGCTGCTGCGCAGGACCTGCTCCCAATCTTTTATACATATTTCTGACACTAAATACAAAGCTGTGCTCACCAGGCGATGAAGCATTAAAAGTGGTCCACTCTCATAATGTTCAGCCTAATTTCCCGGTCTAACCTTAGTTCTCGGCACAGATTAAAGCAGGTCAGCGTTTGTTTAAAGTTTTGTTTTTGTTTTTTCCCGAGCAGCGTTGCAACCGTGACGGTCTCGTTTTTGTTTTCCTTTCAGTCCTGTATAATCAGACTCAGACAAACGCAGGGATAGTTAGGAAAAGTGTGGCTTTAATGTAAACACAACATTCGATTGGCTCAGCACAAACATTCCACATGAGAGCAACCAATAAACTACTGAATAGGATGAGGGGTGCAGCACAAAAACATTCACAGTAAAAAAAAGAAAAAAAATCTGGTATAATCATAATATATATATACAGTACGGTGCTTTTTTTTTTTTTTTTAAGGTGAAAATGGAGATATGAGGGTTGATATGTGATGGCTAGAGAGTATACAGGGGTGGGAAGATGAATTTCTGGGTGCATGGGTGAAAATAGAGAGCTGGGGGTTTTTTTGTTTTGTTTTGTTTTTTTCCTTCTCTGTGAAAAGAGAAACATGACAGAAGAAAGAGGAGAGAAGGAGAGGAGAGGGGAGTGGTGGGATAATGGTTCCCTCCTCACTGATCAGGAGAGGGGAGGTGAGGAGGAGGAGGGAGTGGGGGAAGAAAAACTTGACTCCCCAGACAGAGGCTGCCTCAAATGAAATTGTTCTCCCCGTGCAGTCTTCTATTTCTACACAGATTCACATCGAAGGGTCACGCACCACACGGAGAACAAGATGTCATCGGAGGGCTGATTTCTACCCTCTGAACCGAAGGCGGGAATCGGTGCACCCCAGTTATTTTGTGACAGGAAATAAATAAGGTGGCATGGGATTTCAGGAGGTAGGAGGAGGCATGTAGGGCGTGAGGCTTAAATAAATAAATCATTCACTGATAATAAAATGTTATATCTGTTGGTTAAATAATAGAGTCGATATAATGAGCTATGATTTCTGATGCTATTCCCCTAACTGTCGTTCTCAGATGGTTGGCACCGATATTTTTTTCAAGAGATATCATTGGCTGTTAGGTATTTCCTCAGGCTACAGGAGGCCAGTGCTGATGGGCAGCCACTCTGAACAGAGGGATCCTCTCTTCTAATCGTGATTAAAGTAAAAGAGAAAACCGAGAGTGGAACAGGCCTGGGGGGGCTACTCCGTCATGTGCACATCTGAAGGAAACTTTAAATAAGCCTCCTTCTTTTCCATCCATAACCCTCAGCCACAAGTACAGCACCTCCCTGACATCCCCGTCGTCATCTCCACACACAACAGCAGCTCTTCAAACGGCGCACCAGAGGCTGTATTCAGTCCAAAGACGCGAGCCTTGAGACTTGCACTTAAAAACAAAAATGCCCACAAATTCTGGGGACAATATTCCACGTTGTGCTTAACCCAAAAAAAAAAAAAGAGCACACTCCTCGCATTACATTTCAAGCTCCGGCTGAATAAACCCCTGGTGCCGCCGCTTCTGACCCTCCCGGTTGTTGACACGGTCATAGACGAAACAGCAAACATTCAGCTCAAAAACACATTTTGAAAAAAAAAAAAGACAAAAACGGGTTTTTTTATACTGAAATCAAAATAAGAGGAAGAGGAACAAATCATGGCAATAATCCAGTGTGGTGTCTGACGGCAGCTCTTTGGGTCCGTTTGGACGTGTAGAATTACATATTTATGTGTTTAAGTATCATCAAAATTATCATTATTAACACCTCATACACTCCATGACAACCTCTGTGCTTGGCCAGGCCTCAGTATAAGCCACACCCTCTGAGGTTGTTTGCAATAATGATGTCGGTGACGGCATCAAACACTACCTGGATGTTTCCCGTGTCTGTGGCACAGGTCAGGTGACAGTAGATCTCCTTGTTTGGAGAGCGGTTCTTACTCTCAAACTGAACCTGAATATATGCAGTAGCGTCTTCGTAAGTGTTAGCACCTGGAGAGAAAACAGCAGAGGGCGATTAAAGCGCGTCGCTTTGCTCGGGAAGCCGCTCCGACTGAGGGCGCGGGACTCACCTGTGTATTCTGGAAAACAGATCGTCAGCGGGGACTTCTTTATCTTCTCAGCGAACAGATCCTTCTTGTTGAGGAAGAGGATGATGGAGGTGTCGATGAAGAACTTGTTGTTGCAGATGGAATCGAAGAGCATGAGTGATTCGTGCATGCGGTTCTGCGGAAAGAACAAGTAAAACAATGAGGGGAGTCTAATAAAACACACAGGTCCAAAGGAAAGCCGGCAGCGCTTCAGTAAAGATCGTTTCTTACTGCTTTTGTTACTTGGACACAGGCCCAGTCTGAGCCCAGAAAAACCCTGATAAACAATAAATCGCAGTCCGAGCTTTAATGATTGTTTAATCGCTTTTGTTATGAAACAGAATAAACACACATTTTACAGGATTATTATTATTCCTGTTAACTCAGCCGAGGCACTTTGCAAATATGCATGTGTGGGGGTTTTCCGTCACAGAGGCCTTTTAGAGCAGTTTTAGCCAAACACAAAGAGAAATCACCAGCCTTGTCACATTTTTTAACCACTTTTGCTCATCTTAGTCTGATTTTTTTTTTTTTCACTTGAAACGGTTGGAAGTCACAGGGAAAGGCATAGAGTTCTGTCAAGTATGGTAACAAAAGTATTAAGCCAGGGGGGAAAAACCTGTATGTATCAATTTTATATTGAAGAAGAAAGTAAGAAAACGATAAATAAATGAATAAGAAGTGTTTTTTCCTTAAAATTTAAAGTCTGAGAATGGAATGAGGTGATGTGTGGACTGTACAGCCTACCTCTGAGACAAATAGAGATTGCATAAATACATATTTTTATACAAATATATAACACGTGGCGAAAAAAACTTGCCAAGAAATCTTCAAGTTAATTGGACGACTTCTAAGTTTTATTGGATTAGCGTCAGTGGAGGGATTCAGGCACACTTACAGTTGTTTCATCTTCATGGAGCACCTGGTCATACCCACTCAGAGCGACGCAGAAGATGATGGCCGTCACGTCTTCAAAGCAGTGGATCCATTTCTTCCTCTCTGACCTCTGACCTCCCACGTCAAAAAGCCTGGAAAAGGGCGGGGGGTGTCAATACAGAGCAGGAGCAGAAAACCTTTGAACTTCGAGCAGGAGCGGCTTCCTACCTGAAGTGGAGGTTTTTGAAGGTGAAGTGGGTTTCGACGATACCAGTGGTCTTCACACGGGTTCTCAGGATGTCCTGCTCTGTGGGCTGGTAGTCTGCCGCACCAATTCGGTCTAAACTGTCCAGATAGCTGATGAAGGAAGACAGGAAAAGCAGTGGATAAAAATGGTGGATTTTTTGTTTGTTTTTTTTCCTTTCGTAGTCTCTTTGCTCGACTCACTATTTAGCCGAATCATTAAGCTGGTATTCTCGAGCACGGTTGAAGCACTCCTGAGTCCCGGCGTCAGCCCATAAACGCTTCATAGCGCTGAGGAGCTCTGCAGAGTACGGCTCTGTGTCCTCCATACGACTGACCACATCACAAACCAGCTTAGCATCGGCCTGCACGAGCACATTTCATTAGATCAGGGAAGAGCAACTAAATTATATCAGTATATTTATTATTCATCATCTGTCAGAGCTGTATATATGGGGCTTTTTAAATATGATAAATCAAAATACACATCTGTTCCTCTAAATGGATGCTACAAAGAAGTTGAAAAGTACACTAGATAAAACTGCTGCATCCAGTCCTTAAATCAAAACCCAAAGATGCTGTGAACTACATGAGACCAAAATTCGAGGTTATTTTGTTAAAATTGCAGCTTCTGAAGAGCTGAAGGGTGAAGGTAAGACTAACTTTTCGATCCTTGTCTCCAAACTCAATGCCCAGTGAGTCCATGGCTCGAAGGATGGCTGCCAAGCTCTGGATGGTGTTGCTGTAGACCACAGGCTTGTACTGCTTCACATCATCCCCAGAAAAGCCATCTTCATGGATAATCCTGCACAAGTACAGAGATATGAAAGAGGGAAAAGTCAGACTAGTCCGTATCCTAATGCACAGCTAAATAACTGCCTTTTCACAATAAAAGTTCTGCCTCTGTGTGTGCGCACGTGTGTGAGGTGGTTACTGTCTTATCATGCTCTCTCCCGTGTTCCTACCATCTCTGCCTTAAATCCATCTTTAAGTGTGTGTATAGTGTGTATAATGAGGCAGAAATTGATCACACACTCCGTCTGTGATCAGTAATTGGGCAGTAATGCGATATTTATAATTTATGATGGGAAATGGGGTGGAATCAGTGAGAGCACCAATCAATCACACAGTTAAACTCCTCCATAATCCGGGTAGCATTAAATCATCCATCAGGACATCCTCACCCCCTGGCTTGATCGATAAAATGTCAGGTGCATCCTCCTGAAAACTGACCCGCGATCCACTCCTTAAAGCGGGCAACCCGTTCGCTCGCTTGTCATCAGCAATTGATATTTGATTTGGGGGGTGGGGTGGTAAATATGGGATGACGGTTTTAATATATTCATCTCATTAGTGCACATTACGAAAAGATGTTTCACGGCAGGGAGATCAGCCTCACGCCCTGAATCTCCACCACCATCATAAAAATTAACAGTCGTGTGAAATAAAACATTAACCCAGAGGGAAACAGGAGCAGAGGTGCCATCTAAAGCTGATAGGAATTATACCCGTCGATTAATCGCTCATGCAGTGAGTATTTCCAAAGTGAAAATACTCAAAATACAATTACGGATAAAAGAAAAGCACCATTCAATCATCAGAATAAGTTCCTGACAATTAACTAATTGGTGAAGCTCTAAGATAACTGTGACTATTGATCAATCCTACAAGGACGTGTGTGTGCACAAAATGCTTATAGTGACAAAAAAAACCTTCATAATAATAACTATTCTGACTAAACGAGATACAGGGAAGTGGATAGTTGTTATAAAATTATGAAATTATTAAGAATTCAAAGCACTAGTTTAAGGTATATGCTACTAATAAAGACCAATCACAGAGTGTGACAGTGGAAATGTATATAAATAGACATGCCTGACATTTCTGCAACTGCAACTGACTGCTGTGGCAAGTGCTACATCAATCTATCGATGAAGCTGCTCCTTGTTTAATTCACTCAGTCCATGTGGAAAATCTACTCTGGTGTGTGTGTCTGTGCTGCACTTTTCTGGCTCTACTAAGGCTTTTCAAACATTTCCTGTTGCCTCTCTTTTACAAACTGGCTAGAGTGAAATTGCAATACTGCCTAAATACCAACCTGCAAGATGATGAGTTGGCAAATCAAAATAAGGGCATGCAACCTGAACTCTCCAATACCTAAACTTTATTACTCATGATGTGTGTGTGTATGTGTGTGTAGTAAAAATCCATCCATCTGCTGCTTGCTTGGGCTGAAGGAAGCTCTGAAAGTGTTTGTAAACACTATCTGGCCCAGTGTGTGGAGTTCAGGGAAGAGTGGTGAGTTATGGGCAATCAGAGACCGCAAGGAGGGTAATGAGGTGAAGGGAAGAGGCATAGAGGGAGGGCGCAGTCGGTGCAGTTGCAGGAAGGAGACAGAGATGTTTCACAGGACAGAATAAGCAGAACAGCATGGCTTTTTCATGCTAAAACATCGACAAACTTAGCTAAGAGGGTTAGAGGAGATGACAACTGTGATTTAAAACATCAAAGAGTGATTTAGCTCAGACAGGGGGAGGTTTAGATGCTGTTTTAGAAGCCATATTTCTGCGTAAATCGGCTTTATGGGCAAAGTACTCCCGGCGATATCGGGCACTTAAAGCCATTAAGATTAAAAGCAGAGGTATTCACTAATGGACCTGTAGTCCTCACTGTAATTCACACACGCGCGCGCGCGCACGCACAAACACTCGCATACGGAGAAACAACACCCACACCTCCCCAGTCGCACACTCCCTGTAGTCAAGCCAAAGCCTCGTTAACTACATTTCAGCACCCCGGCGGTGAACAGCACCCTGGGACGCACCGGTGTGGCCTCCGCAGCCTCACTGTCGGTCTACAGGAGGTGCTCGAGTCACCGGCACTCCTCCTGGGCTATACGGCCTCTCGAAACATGGCGGCTCAACCTGCCTTAGCCCATATAGGGGAGGCAGGCGCAATCTCAGGCCTTTCACTCTCGATGTGTGTAAGAGGGTCGGAATAAGGCCCCGAAAAAATTAAAATTAACGGACACTTACTTCATCTGCTTGACGATGGTGCTTTTGCCGGACTCTCCGCCGCCTGTAAAGAGGGGAGGAGGGCAAGAGTGAGAGCCGGCAAAGAAATCAGTACCACGGAGAGCACCTCCGCCCCATGCAGTCCCACCAAAAGAGGTAGACCGAGCCGAGGAGACGAAGCCCCGCGGCCGGGGCGGCTCTGATCTTACCGAGCAGGAGGAGTTTGACGTCCTTTGCGGCGACCAGCCCGTCCTCTTTCAGGTTTTTCTCGATGGCCTTGCTCCGGTCCAGAGCGGCGCGCTCCTCGGCGCTCAGCGTACATCCCATGTTTCCAGGCGAATGAGCAATCCCGTCGTCTCCCCGGTCCGCCCTGTCCCTCGCCGACTCTCTGTCACTGCGTTGTCTCGCTCGCGCTCTCCTCCCGCGCGGTCTGCTACAGCATTAGGCCCGGATTGAGGGCGAAACGGAGCCGGGATCCCGAAAAGGTCTTTTCTCCGTGACTGTGAGTCTCTGGCTCCGTCCCCTCTATCAGAGGGGGTTGAGAAGGGGGGGTGGGAGGTGGGGTCGTTGTGCTCGAGCCTGCGGGGTTGGGGTTGTTGTTAGGTGGGGAGGGGGGGTCTCGAGCGCGCGCTCTCTCTCTTTTTCTCTCGCTCTACAGGGCGGCGCTGATGGTGATGATGGCAGCGAGCGCGAGCGATTTCATCGTATCTTTTTTTTTTTTTTCACGAAAGCAGGCAGGAGGGGCGCTAGAGGATGAGGGAGGGGAGGAGGAGGAGGGAAAGCTGCGCGAGACTCACCTAACGCGGACAATCTGGCTGACGTCAGAGCAGCCGAGCTCTAATCACGTCCGATGAAAGATTATTCAAACGAAAGAGCCGTTTAAATGGCAAACGTCGCCCCCGTGTCTCGTGGCATCAGTGGAAATCGTGCAGCGGTGGGAACGTTAAAATGCCCCAGCGCGGTCACCGTCTATTCCCTGGGACAAGCATGACGTGCGATTATGTCAACAGCATAAATAGGCCTGACCTTGTGATCCCGGCGAGCGAGTTTACTGTGTAAAAGTACTACAGTGATTTTTATATAACGTTTTAGGAGTTAAATACAAATTCCGTGTATCCTATGCACAGGTATGCTATATAACGTCTGCCGTTGGGTAACTGTAACGGTGTAAAGCAGCACAATCGCAGTCACTCATACAACCACTAGCATAAACAACTGTTTACGAATGCAAATATAACACTTTAATTTGTTTAAATATTACATTTAAGATCTTAAGCTCATTAAAAGCTTCATGAGGAAAAATGTGAAGAACAAAAATTCCCAAATGAATGTGGTGAAAGGTACAAAAAAAACCCTCTCAGAAACAGGGAAGTGGTCAAAAGTTTACATCCACTCATCATAGGTACAAATGTCACTGTAATATGGGGCTTTTAATTACTGTTTTTGTAACTGTTCTTTTTCTAGGGTGGAGTAATTGTACAGGATACATCTTTAATGACTTTAAAACACTAATTTGGCGAATATACACCCCAATAATTGCTTTAATGTCTCTTAGCAAGTTGCAACCAGACACTTTTAGTAGCCAACAACAAACTTTTGGCATAATTCTGTCTGTATACTCAGCCATTATCCTTAGCAGAATTGGTAGAGTTCATTTGAATTAATATTGTGTCCTGGTATGGACCTGAGTTTTCAGCATAATCCACAAATTTTAAGTAGGGTTGAGGTCAAGGCTTTGGAAAAACTATTCCAGAAATTTAATGCTAGCCTGCTTTATCAATTGTGTCCAAGTTTCAACTGTCTAGCTGCTGTCCTTGAGGTGCAGTTGAACATTTTGGAGGTAATCGCCTTTTTCATTATTCCATTTATTTTGAAATGTACCAGTACCAGTGGCAGCAAAACAGCCCCAAAACACGATGCTGCCATCACCATGCTGACAGATGGAAGTGTTCTACAGTGAAAGCCTCACCTCCTCCAAACATACCTCTTGTGATCAGAGCATGGACTTTTTTTTCTTGGTCAGCACCCTTTCAGTCCATGACTGGCTTCACTGTGGACAGAGACCCTGTTGTTACAGAAGTTTTCAGTTCATGGCAGGCATGAGTCCTTGTGGCTCCCAGCTTGTTCCTGAACATCCTAAACAATTTCCTCTCATCTGAGGGTGACAGGTTGAGTCTTCTGCCAGATTTTGGTAAAGTGAGGACATATCAGAATAACTTGTACTTATGTACAATAGTTTGAACTGATGATCTTGCAATCTGAAGTTCTTTAAAACTGGCTCCAAGAGACCTTCCTAACTTGTGTGAATCTACAAGTCTCCTTCTTAGAGCTTCATTGAGTTCCTAGGTCTTTCCTTGGAGTACTGGTCAGTCCAATGAGTGCTGTTAAACAAATCCTTTTGCCAGCAAAGAAAAACAACCAGTTGTAGTTAATCATAATCACTAAGGGGAATGAACGGTGGTGTTGTCAGTTTTTAAGACATTGTAGAACCTTTAGCACCACCTATTTAAAGTTTTAAGTCAGTGTTTGTACATATTTGAATCTGTATGATTGTGACTCATTCTCAGCACCAAATTCTTGTTTTGTAAGTTATTAAAGATGTATTCTACACAATCATTCCTCCCTGGAAAAAGAACAGTTCAAAGAAATAATTAAAAGCTCCAAATTGAGGTTGAAGACATCCACACCTGGACAACTGATTGCTCCAGACCAGCAAACTGCTTCCCAGGAAAGCAGAAGGGATGTAGCTACTTCTTTTTTTCACAGAACGACACAGAGTCCTGTAAAAACTTTCTTTTTGCATGTGCCTGTTTATAGGTTTGGGACAAACATACACAGCCATTCAGATGAAGTCTCTTTCAGGTAAGTCTTTGCTGATTTCGACAACACACAACCAAACCACATCCTGCACATATCCCATCGGCTTAGCTCCACAAAAAAAAAAAGAACATGTGTATCCAAACTGGCTGACCTGTTGTCGCACCTGTTCACCTGCTGACCCCAACCCACAAAACATTATGTGGATTAATTTTATTAATCCACGGTGGTTAGCACTGTTGCCGCACAGCAAGAAGGTCCTGAGTTCAATTCCACCATCAGGCCGGGGTCTTTCTGTGTGGAGTTTGCATGTTCTCCCCATGTTTGCGTGGGTTCTCTCCGGGTACTCCGGCTTCCTCCCACCGTCCAAAGACATGCAACTTGTGGGGATAGGTTAATTGGATAATCCAAATTGTCACTAGGTGTGAATGTGAGTGTGAATGGTTGTCTGTCTCTGTGTGTTGGCTCTGCGACAGACCGGCGACCTGTCCAGGGTGTACCCTGCCTTTCGCCCTATGACAGCTGGGATAGGCTCCAGCGCCCCCCGCGACCCTGAAAAGGATAAGTGGAAGCGAATGGATGGAATTTTATTCTCCATCATTATGATCTAAATGTTTTCTTGAATTCATCTTTTAACCTCCATCAGGCCTAAAAGTCATATCATTTAAATCACTTGATGGTATTAACAATATCAGTGTCAGCTTAAATCAACATATGCCACATCGTGTCAGTGCGGGCGTAAACGTCTCTGTACTCCATAAACCCACAAAATTCCCAAAAATATTACTGAGGACACAGCCTAGCTATCACCAGCAGTTGGAGCAGCAGGGACGTGTGTGTTTAACTTAGGACACTATGTATGTCTATTTGAAGGGTCTGTATCACATTGGTGTGGGTGTGTGTGTGTGTGATAAACACGTCTAATCCACACATCACATCTGGATGGATGGTCAAGTTAAAAAAAAAAAAAAAGTAGGGGAGGGGCTCTTTTACAGTGGACCCTGAATGAAACCAGCACAGGAGCTCAACCTGTAGAAGCTCCATCCATCTTTGACAGCCAAGCTGAGATAAAACACACACACCTACCTCAGATCCGCCCTGAAGCGCCCACATCATGACTCAAGCAATGACACACACACACACAGATGTTCAGCATCAGCAGTTCAATCATGTGCACGTGTGTGAGTGACAGCCAGCGCTGGTGGAGAGGGAGGGCGGATTAACACTAAATTATACCTGAGGGACTTTTGACAAAATGGTGTTTTCAGGTTTAATTACACTAATGCATCAAACAGAAACATGAAGCTTGTTTTTTTGTCTTTTTTTTTTTTTTTTGGTCCCCAAACAATTAAATTGAAAGCAACCAATTTGGAAGAAAAAAAAAAACAGTCTCGCACTCATTAGAAAGAAGACCCAACAGGTTCCATCTGTAAATAGACTTTAAAAGGAGAAACATGATGACAACAGTTTAAACAGTGCATTAAACTCATGACAGCATTTTTAAAAAAGTGATGACAGATCATTCAACTAAATTAAAACAATTATCAATAATACTAATAATTGAAAAGCAAAGACGTGAATCATTCAATATACGCACACACTCCCACACACACTCCTACACGCACGCACACACGGGGGATGATTTGAAGGATGGGATGCTGTCGATGACAGACGTGAAGAACAAACACACTGTGTGTGTATAGCATAAGCAGGGAGGACAAAGTCGCTGCTCCTTGCACAGAGAGGACTCCGCCCCCCCTTCTCTGTTTTCACAGCTGAGACTCAGAGTTACTCTCGCGGCTGCAGGTCCAGAATATTTTCAGCCAGGCTCGTGAGTTTGCAGTCCTCCAGTGCTTTGACCAGTCGGCTCAGCTTGGCCGCCCTCCCCTCCGCCTGGATGAAACGGCTGAGAAGCTGATAGGCTTGCTCATACAGCCCTTCTCTCTCGTACTCGTAGGCCAGGTTGTCTATGGCCGGGCCCTTCAGAGCGCGGCAGTTCTTCCCCAAGGCCCTCCCTACGTGCTTCCACTGACGGCCAACTCCGTTAGAAAAGCTCTGCACATCTGCCGCTGTCAGCATTCGGTCCTCTGACGGGGCCACAGGATAAAGATGAAGGGAAAGCATTAATGTAAACCGCAATCAAGTACGATTACATAAACAGTGTTTTAGAAACAGATGTAAACAGCAAGCTCTCACAGAAGAACTTAGGGCAGGGGTGTCGAAACTCCTATTAGTTCACGGGTGACAGTGAGTCGAACTCTAAAACCATTACACAATAATGTATATATAAAAAAATAAAATAAAAAAAACACTCCTCAAATGTTTCCATCTCTGAGGTATAAAAACCTGAGCGAGAGTCAAGATTTTAATAATAGCTGGAACCATAAAGCTAAATGAAAGACACCCATCATGCCACTCCACTAAAAAAAAAAAAAACACAGCCAGACAACAGAAATGAGCACTTTCTTTAAAAAAAAACACACTGCTCATTTAATAAGAAATGTATTTATACACCAGATGACAAAAATAATCTATGCGTCTCTCCATGTTTCCACATAAACAGAGTCCATCAATCCACCTTTTTAACTGCTTATCCAATTCACGGCTGCAGAGGCAATGGAGCCAATCCCAGCTGTCACAGGGTGGAGGCAGGGTGCCCCCTGGACAGGCCACTTGTCTCTCAACTATTCCCAATCTCATTCACACCAATGGGCAACTTAGAATCACCAATAAACCTAATGTGCATTTTTTTTGAATGGTGGTGGGAAGCCTGTGGATTTAGAAAGTCACAACTTTTCAAAATCTACAAATACATTTTCACTTCCCAAACTTTTCCACTCCCGCGTAGTAATCCCAGCATCACTACGTGAAGAATCACATTTCAATTTATCGAAAAATTTGAGTTTTAAAAGAATTTACTGAGAGTCTTTAGCAGGCTGCTTCAATCACACATTTGACTCTTCTGATGTAGTGTTTCTTTTCAGCTGATAACTCCAAATGCTTTTCTAAAAATGTCCAGGTGAGAGCACCTTGGGAGGGAGCTCTAAGCAAATAATAGTACCTGACTCTAGTACAGCAAACTAAATAGTCATATAATCAAAACTACAGTATTTCATACTAATGCTGTAGTTTTCCAGGAGTAAGTGCACACCTGAATCCTCAGACCAGCAGTGTTACATTCTCCGCTGATGTCCAGTCATCCCCCACTATGAGTGTATGACTATGAGAAAAGCTAAAGGCTGCAGCTTTCAACCCAAACTTAAACACCAATAGGACTTGTGTACATGATGCATTATTAATTCCTTGCTTCTCATTTAGTGTTGATGTCAGTTTGGCTGCTGTTTTATATAAAGGGCCACACATAAGGGACACTCAGCACCTCTGGAAACTCCTGTAAACATCTGTAAAATTAACCACATTTATTTTCAAGCTTCAAATTTTTTCGAAACATGTAAACCATGTTTCTAATTAGGCAAGTGAAATTTAGCCATGTTGGTCCACTTTTAAAAGCAGGAGCAAAGAGTCAACAAGAAGGGCTCATCCAGTTGTGAGGCTAGAAGAGAGGCAGAGCATCTGCCAGTCATGTATCATGACACTGCTGGTGGTACACCCAGCAAACGTTTAAGACCCCTGAACTTGTATGACCTCCCTGTGGACATTTAATAAATCCCTTTTCTACATACATAGAGCTCCGATTGCATACGGCTGGAAAAAAGCTCAAGTGGATGCACCCCCACACTGTTTAATTTTAATGTACACCGACAGGACTTTCATACTTTAATACTGCACTGTCCTTTTGCCAGCTGTAGCTGCAGATTCTGCATATTCATTCGTTTCATGTGCTTTAAGATTATAAAACAGCTTTAATGAGTAATTTTCAGCCAGATGGGGACAGTGATACCACCTGTAAACACGCATTTTACCTGACACAACTACAACTATTCCATGTGGGCAAGTTGCTCTTTAGACATTCAACAGTTACACAGCAACACTAGCAAACATCTGGAGACTAAAATTCATTCATTTTCTTAACCGCTTCTATAATTCAGGGAGACGTGAGGCTGGAGCCTTTCCCAGCTGTCATAGGGGGATAGGCTACCTCTTCAGGCTATCTGGAGAGATGGACCGGTGGATTTGAACCCAGGACTTCTCACTGTGAGGCAACAGTGCTACCCAGCTGACCAATGTCCTAACAAGTCTAAAGTTCATCTTAACTTAGCTTAAGCTTTATGTCTTCACTACCTCCTGAAGTGCACATCGCACTTAGCACCTTTAAGTTCACTGGTTTGGTTTTCTGGCTCACTGCTTCAGCAAGCAGCTGGTCTCAAGCAGCAAACACTACTTGCTAAGCACCAAACAACAAACAGGCAAAGTCAGCGAATAGCCTGTGATCACAGAGCTGTGTAATCTCATTGTTCGTATGGAAAAAACTGATCAGAGCAGCTTTAAAGTTGTGCACTTGCATGATCAAAAGTACTGAAAAATCAGGTGCAATTAATAAAGACCAGTCAGTTCATTAACAAAAATCCCTGCTGTTGTACTTTCACACTTTCCTTTTTTCCCATCAAGACCACCAACATCAATTTACAAACCCCAGGAGAGCCTTAATGTGTCACTGGGTGTTTAATTTCAGTTGTTTGGCAGCCACCAAATCTCCTGCATTTTTATTAATTCAAATTTTAGTTGACCCAATATGAAATCAGTCCAAGTATGAAAACCAAACACATTAGCTGCAGGCATTAATCTCTTCCCACTGACTGGCTGGATTAGGGAGTCAGCTGAAATAGTATTGAATTCATGTGCTGTCGAGAAAAAAAAGCCAATCAACAAAGTTCTGTCAGCTTCTTGAATTTAAAAAAATTTGTTTTTGCAGACACATGAGGAGAACGAGGAGATGGCAGCAAGCCCACCATTTGTAAATGAACGACCATCCCCGATAGTTAAATTACAGAGAATATCTAAATAATGTACTGTGGACAGCACACCACACACACGACTAGTAACAAGGACAGTCTCGACTCACCAAACACTCTGTTCTGAAACTTGAAGCAGTTGCTGGGAACGGGAGACTCTTCCTGCATGATGGTGACGGACTGTGAGGCAGGACCGCGGGCCTGACTCTGCAGCTGCTGCTCGAGCTCATCGATCTCCTCATCGCGCAGGCGCTCCGGCTGAAAGGCACAAAATGGCAGAAATCACTCAGAATAAAAATAAATGAGAACGTCAAAGTGGGCACACTCTCCGAAGGCCATAGTGACTACAATAAAGGGCAATGGCTTAAATTTGGCAGAAACAGGAGATTATTTGTTTCAAAATGCTAAATTTTGCGGTTACATTTTCAGTGGATCCAAAATCCTGCAGAGCAAGTACTCACAGGAACTAGAAAGAGAGAGGATATTTCCCATATTGGCTTCTCTTCTTTGGCTCTCTGGTAGAATCAAATTTAAAATCCTGCTCCTCACATACAAGGTCTTGAATAATCAGCCCCCATGTTAATGACCTCATAGTACCGCATTAGAGCACTTTGCTCTCAGACAGCGGGCTTACTTGCGATTCCCAGAGTATTTAAAAGTAGAATGGGAGGCAGAGCCTTCAGCCTCCCAGTTTGGATTCAGGAGACAGAAACCCTCTCTACTTTTAAGATTATGGTTAGAACTTTACTTTTTGGTAAAGCAAATAGCTAGGGTTGGATCAGGTGATCCCCGAATGCCCTCTTAGTTATGTTGCAATAGGTTTAGACTGGTGGGGGCTTCCTGTGATGCAGTGTTCCTCATTCTGGTCTCTTTTCACTCACTGTATGTTTTGACACCTCTCTGCATTTAATCATTAGTTATTATTAAATCTCTGGCTCTCTTCCACAGTGTGTCTTTTGTCTTGTCTCCCTCTCCTCAAACTCAACTGCTCCCAACAGTTGGCTGTGTGGAACTCTAACGAGTGATCAGGCTGAACTGTCACTGAGAGAGTGTGGCTGTTAGCTTTCAGGAACAGGTATGATTATGACAAACCTGCTTGTGTGAATCTTTGTGAAAAGGTTTCACATTGCAGCTAAATTACCTTGCAAGAAAAAATCCCATTAGAAATCGGCCAGTGTCAGGCACGGTGAGGTGAAATGAGATCTACTTTTAAAATCTTTTTGCCTCTTTAAAATCACTGGAGAACAGTTTAACAGGAACATCAACCTTACCTGTGACAGGTGGATGTGCTGTAGGCAAAGATCCAGCTTGTCCAGACACCGATCCAGAGTATGAGTGCCTGCCTTGAGCTGGGTTTCCACAGTTAACTCCTGGGACAGAGCGAGCAGCCGGCAGGCGTGCTGGCAGAGATACTGTCTCACCGCTCCAGAGCTGTAGCTCTCCAGGAACTGATGACATGCTGCCACATTCACAAACTTCACCTCCACCCCCAGGAAGGGATCCGCGTCATGGACCTTTAGGATCTCAAATGTACCCAGGCCTCCAGCAGAGTCTTAACAGTGGAAGACTATGATTAATCAAGGTAAACCCTACAAGAGGTTTTTTCTATTTTAATGAGCATGCAGTATGAGAAATGCCTAACCGAGGGCTCACCTGTAAGTGTCAGCTTGATGACTTTGAAAATGATGAACTTTCCCTGTGGGTCTTTGTAGAGAGAGAGCAGGTTCACACCGGGACACAGCGACTGCAGAAACATGACTGCGCATCCCGTCCATTGACCTCCATCCACAGTCTTGTCCGCCATTCTCTGAACACTACTTGAGACAATTAATGCAGAAAGGTACACTTTCATATATTGTATATTCATCAAATATAAAGTGAAATATTTCAAGCTTTGTTTTTGCTTTAACTTCATTGATTTTAATGTACGGCTCATGAAATCAAGTATCTGAGATTAGTAGAATATTTGCCGAGATCAATGGGAATAAAAAAGGATTTACAAAGGAAACATCCGCATGTTTATACACTTGATACTTGGTTTGAGCTCCTTTGCCACTAATTACTGCATAAGTGCAGTAATTAGTGGCATGAAACCGATCAGCTTGTAGCACTGCTGAGGTGTTACTGAAGCCTAGGTTGCTTTGATTGTGGCCTTCAGCTTGTCTGTGTTTTGGTTTTGGGTATTTCTCGTCTACTTTGTAGATTTCTTGCGGTGGGAGTTAGGGTCAAGTGAGTTGGCTGGTAAATGCAGCAGGGTGAAAACATTGCCAGCAAACCATTTGGTGGTAGTTTTATCGCTGTGGACAGGTCCTAAGTGGTGCTGGGAAAGGAAATTGACATCACTATAAAGGTTGTTAGCAGATGGATTGATAAAGTGCTCTAAAGTCTCCTGGTAGACGACTGTGTTGACCACCACCAGCAGCAGCAGATGAAATGGCACCCTAAATTGTCACAGACTGTGGAAACTTCACACTGGACTCCAAACACGTTGGATTCTCCACTCTTTCTCACATATCCAGGACCTTGATTTCCAAATCAAATGCAAGTTTTACTTTCGGCTGAAGACGTCTGTATGTGGTGGCTCTTGATGCACTGACACCAGGCTCTGTCCACTCCTTGTAAAATGCTCTCAAGTTCTTCAATCCACTTTTTTCCCCTCTACAATCCTCTCAAGTCTTCTGTCATTGTGGTGCAAATTTTACAATACTCTTCATTCTTCCAGTCAACTTTCTATTTATATGCTATGGCTTATATCTATGGCTTATCCTCCGTGAGGAGGGTGTTGATGATCGACTGGACAACTGTCAACTCAGCATTTTTCCTAATGATTGTGCTTGACCACGTGGTTAACAGAGTGTAAATATACTGTGAAATCAAAATTAAATATTCTACAATATTCCACTACATGAGCTACAAACCATAATCAACTGAATTTAATCAAAAACAAGTCTTGAAATAATATGCTTTGTGTAATGAATACAGAATACATGGAAGTTTACTTTTTTAAATTCAATTACATGAATGATATTCAATTTCTTGCACTAGCATAACAAATAAGACAGTGAGCCCTACTCTATCACCTGTTTGTAGGTTTGCTTGTTTGTTAAATTTGAGGATTTTCTCCTTTTCTCGTATTTCTCTTGTCTTAAATGTAATGTTTCTGGGTTTTGTTGTGTTATTTAAACATTTAACTACATTTTTGGATATAGATTTTTTTTTTAACTGGTTCAAGGTAAGAGGCAAGGTGAACCCTGGATCGATCCATCACAGGGCTAATATTTGGAGACGGACATCCACACTTACTCACAGATAATTAAAAAAATACTGACAGCAGCAGCTCAGCCTCCTAGCAGATGCACCTGTTTAAATTTCAAGCTTTCAATTTCAAAACTGACCTCTAACTTTGAGATCACGGTCAATGAGATTCAAACTCACCTGAGATTTTTAATAGATACACCAGCTGTATCAGATCATTGCTTCGTTCTCGATTTATCACATTATCGCCCAACAAACTTGGGCGTCCACGTCCCCCAACCACTCGCTCAGCAGGATAATGAAAATACCCCATCAACCTTTTACGACTAAGGGGCAAAAACAACTATTACTCAAACACGCATGTCTTTGGACTGTGTGGTGAAACCGGAGCATGCAGAGGAAACCCATGAAGATGTAGGAAATATGAAACTCCACAGAAAGGCCCCAGTACAGCAGGAGGTTTGAACCCAGTGTAAATCACTGTTCCTCCACCGTCAGCAGGTAATAAAAACATGTGGTGAGAGACGTACGTCATCTCAAATTCAGGCTCTAAATTTTTGATCAGTGGTCATTAATTCTACGTCTCATTTTATCTGAAGCAGGAGATTCAGTTTCTAATCGTGTTCGCTCAGAGTGATGGGATAATAAACCGTATCACCTCTGCTGACTTAACCGCCCGACCCACGGCAGCCAAAATACATCCACCATGTTTCTGGCCTCACTCCACCTTTTTTTACCCCAGCTCCCTTCTGAAACCCTCATTACATAAAAACATGTTTAATCTCATCCCTCCCCTCCCCCACTCCAGCCCCTGACTCCTGTGCCCTGGATGAACCGCTGAAACCTGCTGGTGCTGTCTCTATGCATCCTGACTTGGAGCGCTCTGCAGGGAAAGAGGAACCTCTGAGCTGGATTAGGTGCACGTCCTCGCATTTTACTGAATCACAGTATGCTTAGCGGCTAGGTGTACAGGAAACGACTTAGGCAGTATGTAATTATTTGCTATCCTATCAACTGGTACACTGGAAGTATACTGTGAGATTAGTTTAGCAGCTGGATGAGGATTAAGTGATCATCGGGAGCTTAAAATATATAATTCATCCTTTGCTGCCAAAAGCCAACCTCTAGTATTCCCTGGAGAGCTTGTTTGGGTAACAAAAAAAAAAAATTGATTCAGAAGCATGAATCAAACGAATTCAAAAGTGGCTCATTTTGTCCAGTCCAAAAAAATACGAACAATAAATTCAGATGACATAAAAGGGTAAAAATGGAAAGTCCTCACATTTGAAAAGCATAAGCAGAAAACATTTCATAATTCCCCCTGACTAAGTTTGCAAATGATCATTTTCAATTATAAATGTAGCTTTTTAACATCTACTCGCTTCAATCCATACATAAATATAAGAATAACTGACACTGAGGGCTAATAATTTGTTTAATCATCCCTATAAATGATCATATCCTTATGACCACACAGCATTAAGTTACACTTCTAGCGTTTTTAGTAAAGCTCTCTGTTGGAAAACAAAACATGCCAACTACATGGTGACGCCATGCCATATATCATTTATCTGATGTCAAGTCTGGCAAGAGATTTAAAATGACCACAAATTCTTTCTTTTTTTTTTTTTTTGGTCTAAAAAAAAACCTTGAAAAATGTGATCACAGGGTCTGCAGGTAACTCTGTTGCATGTGTCTGCCACACCTGTGTGGGAGTCATGCAAGAAAAAGGTCTTTATTGTCAGGAAAAGACCATCCCTACATGGTTATGTCAGCCTGGGGGGGAGCATCTGTGACTCAAGTGGTCAACAACCAGTAGTTAAATCCTTGGCATGTCCATTCTGTATGCTGTGGTGTTCTTTGGCAACATATTAAACCCCAAATCTCCTCCCATGATAATAATCCTCAGCACACCGACAAATCCACAAAGGAAGACCTCAGAGGCAGGAAAGGGAGGGATATCGTTCCTGTGAAGGTAACACTTGTTACATGCAGGAAAACCCTCAAACATCTTTCAATTGATGGACATGAAGGAAGAGAGGTAAAAGATTTGCAACCCAATGTGAAACACCAGGTGGACAACACAAGCTTCTGTGGCTGAGAGCGTAATTACTTTTTCACACAAATGAATGATGTGGTGAAAAGCATGCGACCTTTATCTGTAGTCACTGTATCAAAGATCAGAGGTTTGCTCGTCAAAGAGAAAAGCCCAGTTTCCAGAGGATGTACTAGGTGCTATTTACACAACTGAATATTGATGGAAAACAGCTAAAGCTAGAAATATTGATTCCTCATATCCAAAAGATCCTTTCCTTAAAGTAGTTTTAACAGTAACAGTGTGATCTGACCATTCAGAGATATAAAAATGAACTGACTCTGTCAAAATTCAGAGGTTTCAGCTCGTGAGAAGTGGGTGGCAAAATCAGAGCCTTCGTGGTCATTCATCATCCGAAGCTTCAGCATTCTGTGATTAAATCAAGTCGGTTTTTCCAAGGTTAAAGTGTTTTTAAGTTTCAAGTTCAGTTTGACTTGTTTCTTCAGTGAACTGCTGGTTAGAGAGGACAAATTTTCCTCAGCGGAAGTTTGGAAAACCTGAGGCCTTACATGTTGGGAAGGCTCCTCTTTACAGTCAGTATGAATAAGAGGAGCACGTTTTGCATGCAGACGCATAAAAAGTGACTTGTGTTTTTGATCACCTTAACTTGGCAGGTCTTCCAAAACCATTTCAGTTAACCATAAACTTTGTTTTCAGTCTATTTTTGCTCAGGCAAGTTTATAAACAGTTTGTAAACTGTAAGTAATGAATTAAGGGGTAAGAAAAAACATTTAACTCCTCTGGAATATCTGAGGTTTCTGAATTGATTCCCAGCAAAATATTATATGGAAAAAAGCACACTATGACTAATAACACACCAAACACAATCTGAAATTCCTCCTCTTCATCATGAATGCCTCTAAAAACTGCTACAGGAAGCATCTGACGGAGGTCGCGGCTGCTGAAGGCGGCTGTTTCAGTTACTAATTTCAAGAGTTCATTTGTTATTTTCCACCTTCACTGTTTGTTATCTAGCTGTTCATAAAGGACACGAAAATGTTTTCAGTTTATTCAGATTTTGTTTTTATCTTATTTTGACTTAGAAGATCAGATCACATTATTTCCAGTGTCTTTAAAACAGTTATCAATTTATTTTTCAATTTAGCCTTAGATTCCTTTTAATTTTGGGCTGCCATGGTATCAGAAAACCCTCTTCAGCATGGCTCTTGTGTTTCAAGTTAGAACATTCTAATTAGGGAGACACATCCAACGCAATGTGTGAGGGGTTCATCTCTGAAAACGACATTTAGCACATCTGAACTAACTCAAAGTTACATTAACAACAGGAGGCTAGTTGTGAATAAGTTATTTATCCCCCTGTACATCGAATATGACTAGCACTTCCACCATAAGTAGAGTATGGATGACCTGGGTAAACATGTGGAATGAAGCTGACTTAAAATAATGGTTCCTACACCAGCAGCCTGAGCCATGGATCCATGCTTTTATGTCAAATTCTGACCCTACCATCTGAATGTTGGAGCAGAAAACAAGACTCATCAGACCAGGCAATGTTTTTTCCCCCCGATCTTCTATTGTTCAGGTTTGTTGAGCCCCTGTGAACTGTAGCTAGGGTGGCACTCGCTGTGCCCTCTGCTGCTGGTATGGTCTGCATGTGCTATGTTTTCATAGATGCTCTCCTGCATACCTTTGTTGTAACTAGTGGTTATTTCAGTTGCCGTTAATTTCCTATGAGCTCAAAGCAGTCTGCCCATTCGCCTCTAGCATCAACAAGGCCATGTGATTGGCTGATTAGAAATTTGTGTTAAGAACAGGTATATCCAATAAAGTCGCAGTTAAGTGTATAATAAATACATCACGATTACAGCTTTAGCTTTGACTTCTAAAGTCAGGCAAGCCAGAAAAAGTTCGAGATCCACTGAATTATAAGCAAAAGCATTAACAAATGTTGCTATCTGAGGATATTTTATTACATTGCTATATTTCCTAGCTTAAAGTAACAACAAAACCTTCGATTACAGCTTATAAACTCATCATAAATTAAGCCTTACAGAAACAACAGAAAACACACCCAGAGTTTACTCAAATTATAGACTATGTAACTTTAATGTCAAAGCTATAACTGTTGTCCAACTTAAAACTAGGGGACGTGGTTGCTATGCGACCCGTACGTACAGGTGAGCTAGCTGATTACCTTCATAACAGTTTGACAGCTGCATTGGTTTGAGTCAGAACACCGTAAAGATAGCTATTCCGTTTTAAAATGTCAGTACCTTATACTGAAAGGGATGGAGGTTACTGTGAGAAATGTCACGCAGAATAGATAGAGCTACCGTAAAGCTACGAGCAGCCACGCCGCTGAAGCGGCCCAAAGCCTCGGGAAGCCCACACGCCTAGTTTCTGCCTAGGAGGTCCTTTGATTCACCGTGAAGTAACACTTTGACAAACTCGGCTCAAACTTACCTTAAAACTTTGTTAAAGTGTTTGGTAACGCTTCCTTCTGTGGAATCACACGGACAGTATGAGCTTCCTGGCTTCCCATTGGGTGAGCAGCAATCAAGCTGCATTCTGATTGGTGAAAATCAACGAGGAAAATCGTGACGGGAAGGAAGTGTTTTTTTTGTGTGTGTGAGGTTTTCTTTTTTTTTTTTTTTCATTTTAACGTAAACGTTCATATGTAGTTCAACGAATCTCGTTACGAACAATTACATCTAGCATTTAATCATAAATATAAACCTGAACCAAAACACTGAAACACTTTACTGGCTCTTTGACGAGTCTAATTTCTCACTGTGTTCGCTGGGTTTTTGTGTGTTAACAGATTTAAACAGCTGCTGGGGAAAACCAAAACAATGCACTAGGCATATTTGCATAGTCACACAAAGCGATGCAGGGGTGCAAAGGTTTTCCGGAAATTTAGACACAGGTGACACTGATCTAAGAAATCTAATCAAAAACATTAATCAAATGGAACTTTTATGTCATTTATGAACAAATATATCAGCTGGCTTCAGCTTTTAAATGTTATTTTGTTTAAATATATTTGTTTTTGGGGACTTTTAGCCTAACACAACTAAATCTGAATGTATATAGTCCTGTGCAAAAGTCTTGAGCCAACAGCTCATTATATTTTGTATAGTAAGAAAAATATTATTTTAAGATAAATATAACAACAAAATAATCAAAACATGAAGACAAAAATGTAATAAAGTTACAGCAAGTCTAAAAAAGTGAGTTTTTAACTGCTTTTTAATGAATACCACAGAGTCTGGAGGATCTCAGGCTCAGTGGGAGAGTCTGAGCACCACTGCTGCAAAAACTCTGTCTCCTTTAGTACTCACCCTGATTACATGATGTCTAGAACTTGCTAAAGATGTATGGATGTATGGAAGTTTACTGATCTAGACTAATGTTTGTCCATTAAACACTCAACACATAACTAAATTGGTAACAGTGTGACGTGTCGGTACTTCAAACACTTTTGCAGTGGAGAACAAAGAAGCTTTGTTAAACCAACAGAACAAGGAATTCCTATCATTCAGATGCAATGATATAAATGCAAGATATTAATTTCCAACTTAGAGCATGACACTATTGAAGAGTGAACCAGAGATTTAATGTGAACATTTAAAGTGAAAGCTGCATCAAAAGTTACCCCAAGGTTCCTAATAAAAGATTTAATAAATGTGGCATAGTTTCCAATATTTTAGACACAAATCTGCCAGGGGCACAAACAAGGATTCATGTTTTTCTTCAATAAGTTGGATAAAATTGTCAGTCATCAAGCTTCTAAAAGAGTCTACGCACCTATGCGATCACTGTAACTTAGAAACACATTGGGGCTTAAGAGGTATATAACAGAATGTCATCTGCATAACAGTGATAAGGAATGTCCTTAAAAGCATTCAAAATGTGCTGAAGAGAGAGCAGGTATAACAAAAACAATCAAGGCCCGCAAACTGAGCCTTGTGGCACACATTACATCTGATTGGCAGCATCTTCATTTTTCTGCATGATCCCGAACACACTGCTGATGCAGTAAAAGCATACGTGTATAGAAAACACACAGTGGAACACTATCAGTAATGGACTGGCTTCCACAGAGCCCAAACCTCAACCTTGAAGCAGTGAATTGAAGCAGTGTGGGATCAAACAAAATGGCTTTGAAAGTCCATCAAGACGCCTGGAGAACTATTCCTGAAGGCTAGTTAAAGAAATGATAATCAGAATCAGAATACTTTAATAATCCCCAAGGAAAGTATGTGGGTTACAGTTGCTCCAAGACAATAACAGTAACAGACTAAACTAATTAAATAATACAATATATTACAAAGTTTACAAATAGCACGAGTATATACAAAATTGCTCAATTATAAATATCAAGAATATTACAGAGGTGAAATATATATGATTGACATTTAACTGTAACCTGTGAAACTTTGTCATTTGTTATTTTACTGTAGAGCATGTGCAAAAGGGTGTAACTATTGCAGTGTGTACTGTGTATTAGATGGAGGAGTTGTACAGGAATGATTTCCTGTGTTGTAAATAAATGGTGGCTTTTTTGGCATCATTAGGGTAAAAAAAAACAATAATCTAAAATAACCCTTTTAGCAAGTTCTAAGGAACCAGAGTGGTACTCCTCTTCCAGGCACAGGCAGGCCACAGATAATAAGATCAGATAAGACCACATAATCGACACAGTTAATCTAAGAATGTTGTGAAAAGTTTATTTTTAGTCATGTTTTTAAAATGTTTTTCTCAAGCAATGCACAACGCTGGGCAACGAGCTTTCATAAATGTTTTATCTCATTTTTTTGTGTGTGTCAGAAGTCTATTTAAACCCTACCATATTAAAAAGGTAACACACAAAAGTGAACAGCCCCCAAAGATTCTCTGTCAGGAAATTTACAATTTGGATTCTTGTACATTTACTCTAGCCAGTCAGGTGAAGGTAACACGCCTAAATGTTGGATGTCCACTACTGCTCCCGCATGCTTGACAAGTATAACAGCATGGATACATAAACAGTATAAAAGATTGATAAAGGCACTCTGATGCCATGTGTTGGTTTTGTGAATTCCCGTCCTGAAGCCTCAAGATGAGCATTTTCGCAGTCGCCGTCTTATTTTTGAACCATTTTTGAAACAAGCACATGGTGGATTTAACTGTCAAAATAAGGGTTACTGCACAATCACAACTTGTGATTAAGAAGTTGGTATGCTTGTTAATACCCTGCCAGCTAGCATGGTATGCTTGCTGGATTATGCTCCTTTATAACTCTAATAATGACCATAATTCACAAGATGAACTTCATGTTTCATTCTGTATGACGTGAAAATAGCAACTGAGCCCATAAAAGCGTTTACTGAGGTCACAGAGTGAGGGGGGGCGAGGGTCTTTTTCTCATAAATGTGAATACAACCTGAAGTCTTCTTGGAAGCAGAGGAGTCGCCCCCTGCTGACCAATAGAAAGAATGCAGGTTTGAGATACAAGTTGGCATTACTTTTCAGACGCAGTAGCGCCATCATAACTACGGCTTTTCTATTAAAAAAAACCCATTTTTGTCAAGTTTTGTTAGGCCTGAATGCAGCCCAGGTGCATACGCTATGCTGGGGACTGGCTCTGAATAAAGCAAGGAGAGCCATTTTCATACTTTTCCAGATTTCTACAACTTTAACAAATAATATAAGTAACTTTTTAAGGTGACCCCTATACCATAAGACTATTACAGAGGCCTGGGTTAAAATGTACACCAAGGTTGTTTTGTGCGTGTCTTTTTCCCAGCTTTTCTGTCCTCTCTCTCCACTGTCCTATTGCAATAGTGACTAAAAAGCCTAAAAATACACATTTAAAAATTTTTTTTCCCCCCTCTTGGAATAACTAAAAAACTGAAGTGTCAGTAACATCACACAAGTCAAAGTAGCTTTGGTTGGCATTACACAGCATGTTGCCCATCATTGGTGGTTAGATCCAACCAAGACTCCATCCCTATACTGTATATTTACAAGTGAGAGGAGTGAGTGGAGTTCATCAGCCAGTGTAAATGCCCCCCCCCACACACACACACTCTTATGTATTTATATACATATTTATTCATAGTAGACAAAAGAAAAGTCATAAAACTCTCTGCAGGTGGAGCTGCCATCAGGCTCGGAGGTGCTTTTGTGGTTGATGTGTTTGACAAACTTGAGAGTCTCTTTGTCTCTGTAGACGAGTGCGAGGGAATTGTCCTCTGGGTAGACAGTCAAAAGCTGTGAAGAAAGAAAGCGATGATGATGACTGTCGAAGCAACATCCACACATGTGCGATTACATGTTACATTAATCAGCACTCACCTCCTCATCCTCTTCATTAGCGACATAACATGTGAAGCCGCCAAACTCTGACTGCCAGCCTATGAGAGAGAATTAAAAGTTCAGTACAGTCACACTGGTGTCCGACAGTTCGTTCTTCTCCTGGGTGTGAACTCACCGGCACAGCCGAAAGGCAAAACGAGGTCCAGCGCATATTCTGCCCGCGCTGCCTCTCCATCGTGCAACAGGGTGTAGCCGCCATGAGACCATCGACGTACTTCCCCACAGCACAAAGGGGTGCTCGGCTCTGAAAATACACAGAGGTCAAAACACACGAACAGCAGCGGCGGCGGCGGCTGAATGAAAGCACTCACAGCGATGCACACCTTTCTCTCTGCGCACATCTGCTGAGGATGGTTCATTTGACGACCCCGTGGCTTCTCCATCATCTTGCTGCTTTTTATCCTTCTCTTCATCGCCATTCTCTTCGTCGTCAGCCGGGCAGAGATAGTGCAATCGAAGGCCAGTGAAGTTGGAGAGGAGCAGGAAGAACGCTTCTGAATGAAGCAGCTCCCAGCATGCACTCACACACTGAGGCAGCGAGTCCAGAGCAGCTGCTTCATAGCACCTGAAAGCACACAGATTATTAGCCAATCTTAAATACAGAGTGCTACTTTAAAGAGTCAAAAATACTCACCTCTTATTGGGTGGACCTCTCTTCTTCCACTCAATCTGAGAGAGCCGAAGTGCTTCACTCACCTCGTTGAACTTCTCCTCCTGAAGACAAACGCATAATCACTCAGCAGAAACAAATGAACACGGGAAAGACACGACACCGGTGCCAGCTCTGCTCTGATGCCTTTTTGAAAAGCAGTGCACACTGGATACTTAGAAATTACCTCATTACTCAGTGTTGTGTAGCTAAAGCTGAGGTACTTTCTGTGTGGAAAAAAAAAACATGCGTGCTTCATCTGCAAATCATCTGTGAATAAGAATTTCCAGCTTTGGGAATTGCATTTCTATGGTGCAATGTCCGGAAACCGTTCTGAATAAAAAAGCTGCAGTACTGCGTCGGTGGAAAAGAGTTTTTAGAAGTTACCTTGAGAAATCCTTTGAGCTGAATTTCAGAGCTGTCTTCAAAGTTCTCCTGAATCTGCTCTTGATAAGAAATGTCCAAATAGATGGGATTGATCCACTCCAGCAGCACCGTTTCCTGCCACGAACACAAACAGCAAACACATGAGCTGGCAAGGAGGCCGTCCAAGAGAGGAACAATCTGACATTATAAGAAATCAACTGATGCTCACAACTGATTAAAAAAAGCTTACACTGGAGCCTGGAGATAGCTAGATTTGCATACAGAGCTCTCATAACACTATAATGTACACTCACAAGCCACTAGCTACACCAGCTCAACTGCTCGTTAATGCCAGTCAATGGAGGCATGTAAACATGGCAAAGACAACCTGCTGAATTTCAAACTAAGAATCCGAGTAGTCAAAAAGTGGTGATTCAAGGGACTTTGAACGTGGCATGACTGTTGGCACCAGATGGGTTTCTCTTAGTCTTTATGCTGAGCTAAGCTAACAGATGCCTCCAGCTGTAAATTGATTGAGAATCATGCAAATTATATGTTATATTTATCAAACAAAACGTATAAAATTCTTCTTCCGAAATTTTTTGAGATATTCCCACAAGATAGCACCCACATCTCTCGGTAAGTGTGGATTCCTCTGGACGGGAGCCACTGTGTAGCGAGGAGGACGTTCCAGAGAAGGTCCGTGAAACCAGCCGCTCAGAGACAGCCGACATTTGTCCTGCGACAAAACTTCAGACACCTGAAGAAAAAAGAAACCCCAAACAGTGTAATTTCCAAACGCAGCCTTTTCAAAGAAATAGTAAAAACAAGAATATTTATTCTTACTTGGTGAAAGGAAACTGGAGAAACTTCAAAGAGCACGAGTGTGTTCCAGGAGGGTACGAGTGGCTTCACTATGCTCTGTGGCTGCAAATTACCTGACGACAAAAATGAAATACACACTTCTGTTGTGTAAGAGAATACACGCACGCGCACACGCAAACACAGTGGGACACTCACTGTCTGTTGTGTAAAGATCGAGGGTTCCCCCGTCGCTGCTCTGCCACGGGGGCACAAGATACAAAATGAATGCAACACGCCTCCCCTCCAACTCATCGTCGTGGCACAAAAGAACATCTAGAAAGAAGACAGACAGACAATAACTAAAACAGAAACTCACAATGTAACAGTTTTCCTACTGAGCTAATCTCACCTGTATATTCATATTTGGCACAAGAAATATCCACAGTGGGCTCCAGCTCAACCCCCAGAACCTCCCCGAGCCAGGACCGGAAACGCCCAAACAGTGCTGCCCTACAGACAGTGGTACAGAAACGGGCACACTGTGAAAACCTGGCCGTGACCTTTAAACGCCGTTTAAAATTTGTAACTCTCACCACACGGACAGATTGTTTAGCTACCTGAAAGCCCTCTGTGACATTTTGTTAAGACATAAATAATAGATGACCACAGAGGGAGGCCGTTACTGTGTAATTACTGTATTTATTCCCCAGTGCTGCACTTCTTCAGCAGGTAAAGCGCATATACTCACAAATATGTATCCAGCACATGTAAGTGATTCACTGTAGACAGCTTATCATAATTATAAGAAGAAAGCAGCACGTTATTTCTCAAAGAAGAAAGGTTTACACTGGATTGTGCTATTTTGGCTTGTAGTTTGGCCCCGAGTTCTACTCTGCTCCGATGACTTACAGCCTTGTGTTCACTGCCAGCCTCAGCTCTGTAGTAGAAACTAAAGAATAAACCACCTTCCTGCTTTAACAAACAATCCAAATATTCGCAAGACGTTTCAGTCATCATCACTAAATGTAATATACCAATTACGAGGGCATCTGTAATCTCTGGCTCCACCTGCTGGACCTGATAAATAAACTTCAGAATGTTTCTCATCCTTCCATCAACAGTCCAACAATATCAATATGGAGCTGGATACAAATACAAAAGTACCCCTTTTAGTCTCGGTAAATCTGCGAGCCAACATGAACAATGCCAGGACCCTGAAGGTGGCTCACTTAATGAAGTCCTCATTAATTTTCTTGCTTTGAAGCTCAAAACACCAGCTGTGAAAAGGATCTGTGACTTAAATCTACCTGATGAATATTGTCCACATCTGCTTTGTGCCACCAAACACAACTCTGACCTGTCAGAGGCCTTTATTCCACAAGACCTCTGACACGAGGTGAGGCCTCCATCGATCAGGATGCTCTGTGCGTACGAATGCATTTTTATAGCGAGCAGTATTAAGGTTGAGGGTAGGGCTGGGCCATACCGTTCACGGTAATACCGGGATAATGTTGGGCAACGACAAGAAAATGAAATATCGCGATAGAATATGGGTAAAACGCGCATGCGCAGTGCCTTTGTTTTCATACGCACATAGAGAAAAAGGCACGGCGGCGTTGGAGACAAGGGTGAAAGCGGATCGTTGAATGAAACGGATGAACCAGAATTGGTTTGTAAAAATGCTGCAACGACAGTTGTGTGGAACTGGTTTAGCTTGCGTCCGTCAGATACATAACAAAACACTATTTTTGGTTGAGCGTGCTAGCGGGCCGTCGTTATTACCGTGTTTTTTGGTAAATACGGCACACTTAAAATCAAACCTTTGATTTTTTTGAAAATCGACAGTGCCCCTTATAATCCCGTGTGCCTTATGTATGAATTCTGGTTGTGTTTACTGACCTCAAAACGATTTTATGTGATACACGGCGCTCGAAAATCTGTCAAATGTTTTAGTGCAACTTTGCTATATGAACCCGCAACGCTTGATGGATTGTTGGAGCATTACGGCTACCGTAGGCCGGAGCCTCGCGGAGTGATACGTACTGTGCTTCAACATATATTACCGTATTGCATGTGTATAAGCTCTTTTTAAGTTTTGTGGATATTAAACATGGTTATGCTGAGGATATGTCGGCCAATTTCCACTGGAAATGCCTTTTGGTTAAACTGTCAGCAAGGAATTTGCATTTGTGCTGTTACGTTTTTATACAACTTTAATGTAAAAAAAACAGCTGCTTGTTTAAGTGAAAATACATTGATGTTGTTGTTTTTTTTTTTGCACTAATAAAATTGTGGAGTTGTAAAGTATTTTGTCTATTATCAATTATATCGTCAGTTATATCGTTATCGCAAATTTTCAAATCTATATCGTGAAATGACCGAATTAATTTTATTAAGTGCTTTTAAATCTAAACTACGAATCCTTGAGGCCAAGTCCATAACATGTAACTGTTTCAATTAGATTGATTGTCATTTTAACTGACTTTTTTATTTTTATTTGAATTTTATTTTTTTTTTTATTTGTATTCTTTCACTTATTGTTGCATGTGTGTTGTTGCTGCCTGCGTTTCAGTAATTTCTGTAACTGTGAGACATCTGCTGCTGCCTATCTTGGCCAGGTCTCCCTTGAAAAAGAGGTTTTTAATCTCAATGGGATCTTCCTGGTTAAATAAAGGTTAATAAATAAATAATAAGCCTTGGGTACCCAAGTCCAGTTCACCCATTTTCCTTTAGCCACTTTTTTTTTTTTAGGCACCAAAACATTTTATGCGCCACGTTGTGATTTGATATTGCTTGTGTTTCACCTTTAAGCACGCCCTTTTCTTTTCATCCACTTCCTTGCCTTCATCCTCTTCTTTTTTCGTCTTCATCTTCTTTGCCTTCTTCTCTGTTTTTGTCCTCTTCATTGTCATTCTTTGCTTTTGCCATTCTCCTTTTTGGATTTTTTTTTATCTTCATCTGCCTCCATCTCACTTTAACACACTCTTCTGTCACACCAACCTTCTGCATGTCTTCCTTTGCTACAGTCGTGAACTTCCTCTGTGTTCTACCTCCTTTCCTTTTGCCTGGCAGTTCTTTATTCAACATCCTTCGTCCAGTACGTCCACTACCCCTCCTCTTTGCACATGTCCAAAACCATCTCAGCCTTGCCTCTGTAACTTGGTTTCCAATCCTGTTATAGTCAGGACCCATCTGGGTCACTCCCAGTGAAAATCTTAACATCTTAAACTCTGCCCCCTCCAACTCAGAGCTGGAAGTTCAGTCATAGTTTTTAAATAATATGACAACAAGAAGACGAGTATAATAAAATGTGAAAAAAATCAAGGCTTCTGATTTTCATAAATGAAAGCTTTCTGCCCATTTGACAGCTCACACACACATATAACACAAATGAATTCAAACTATTTCGTTACCTCAGCCCTGCAATATGTGGCTCTGTTCTTTTCTTCAGGTCGTCTGACTGTGTGGGGACAACAAAAACAAATAATAAAAAACAAATAATAAAAAACAAATGATAAGACACTGGAATAAATCAGAGTGAGGATGAATGAAAAAAAAAAAACCTGTTTAAATTTATACAGGTCGTTTGATTTTTCATGGAAGTTTAGCTCCAGCAGCTCTTTCTTGAGGTTTTCTGCAAAGGCTTGGCTGCTGATGAAGTTTCTGAAGATGCAGTGAGGGAACGGTTGGCAGTCCAACTCCAGATCGCCTGCACAATAATTACACACACACACACACACACACACACACACACACACACACACACACACAAAGGAAACTGTGTAAACAACAAAGTTAAGAAAAGGGCAAAACAAACGTGGCAATATTTGCTTTAGAAGAGAGAGAGAAACTTAAAATACTACACTGACCACGGGGGCTCGGAATAGTCCAAGTGATCGCTGCTTTAATTTCCCGGTCAACTATACATAAATTGCACGTCGACACGATTTTTAAAGCTGGTGAACTAGACCAAAGTCATTGATAACAAAAGAACAATAAATCTACTTTCTCCGGTACTTTATACCCGCTCAGTTGCAATGCAATTTAACGCTCAACTACAAATCGATGGCTTTTTGATGGTGACCGGCGCGGAATGATGGTCAACTATAAATAGACATTTTCTCGACGTTGTTGTTGTCACCTGGTCGACTACAAATAGATCAAATATCAATGACAAAAAAACAACGGTAAATCAACGTTATTACAACGTCAAGACCGTCGGTTTACCACAGTATTTCAATGTTGCATTTCAACCCTGACCATAACATGGAAAATCAACATCAATTCACTGTCGTCTTGCTATCTGGGGGGTCTTTACAATCTGTGAGGGCAAAGTTTCAGAACAACGATTAAAGTTTAATTTGGGGGGATGTTTTCTGCCTATATTAGTTAATATAGCAAATGTTAGACAGGAAAGCAGGAAGAGAGGGGGCGTACTGTTGTATTACAAGATACTGATTTGACAACTATGGGGAGAGGGCATGCAGGTCCCCACTCCGGTTATAGTAAAAAATGTTACAGTAGGAACTGTTTCTGTTATGTATTGCAGTGTCCACTATCACGTAGCTCTCTGTATAAACGTCAGAGAGGGTTTATTCCAAATTTGCTGCTCCCGATTGAAGCAGATCTCCCAACAAATTCCCGTAAAACACCTATAACAGCCGCGTCAAAGCTGCAGGTTTCTGAAGACTGATTAACAGCTGCAGATAAATATCTGAAGCTGAACTTTGGTCCTCTCACTGACCGTGGCTGTAGGTAGTCTTGCGGCTCCATGCCTCCGTGACGGCTCTCTTCACCTGCTCGTCTTCTACGGCTGCGCAGAGCTCCGCCGGCTCCTCGCGGCTCTCCTTCTCGCTCTTTTTCTTCTTCTTCTTCTTCTTCTCGTCTGTGCTGCTGCACTCGTCCTGTGGTCGTTTGGTGGTGGCCATTACAGAAACCTGACACGAACTTTCAAAACACGCGTGGACATGGCCTCGCACTACGCGTCGCGGATAAATGACGTTATTAACGATTGTAGTTCGGCCCTGAGTGCAGACTGTCAGGCAGAACTGAACCATGACTATAATATTCACACCAAAATAGAACTTTTAGGATCTGATTTCAGGGATTTACTTTATTATATTTTTACCTCTTTAGCTTTCGGAGGATTAGGTAATAAATCTATTACAGCAGCCAGGTAAGAAAGCATATTAAAGATATTGCTGAACAACTTGTATAAAGCCATGGTCAGCCATTTTTAGGACCACCTCCAAGAGGAAACCTGATGAGGTGAAGCAACTACACAAATCAAAATAAGTCCGGTTCCTGTTATTTCAAGCGCTTAAGACTATTTAAAAGCAGATCTGGTGCAGACTACATAATTTGGTGCTAACCATAATCTCAAACACATGCCACAAGTTTAAAAACCCTAGAAAAAGAAACTGGGTTGTGGGGATAAACCTTTATTGACTATGACAAGAATATTCTGTTCAATTAAAACCTGTTGGCTGAGATCTGGGTTAATTAGAATAGAACTCTAACTTAATTTTCAAAATATAAACTTGACCAATACTTTCCAGTATTTTTCAAATATAATGAAAATGAAGTCTCAAATCAAAAAGTCAGTTTTTCCATGATAAAAATGTTATCGAATTAATCGACTACTGTGGGTGGTTCCTGGCTCTTACCATTTATTTAAGCTATGGTGAGGAATTTCCTTAAGTATAAGATGTTTTTGAAGCTTTTTTTAGTGGTTACGATTTTTTCATGCTGTCTAATTCTAGTCGAAAATCCACAGTATTCCCAAAATACATTGTAATGATTTTCCTTTTTTTTTTTTTTTTGTTTTTTTAAAGTGCATGTGTTATAAAACATGTCTCTATAACCTGCACATCCTCTCCTGTCTTTTTATGGCATCCATTTATATTATTATGATTACTCATGTCTGCAGCCACATGAACATCAGAAAGCTGAGCTGTGGGCAAATAATTAGAAATTATCTGAATGAAGGAACAAACACACAGTTTCTGTCAAGTACAACCTGAAAAACATGTATCCTGATCACTTGTATCAAATAAATACACTATTAAAAAAAACACACACACACACACGAGCCCCAGTGGGGCATCAATCCAGCAGGACTGGTATATGCTGGTTTGTGTAAGGAGCACGAGCCAGATAATGACTTTTAGGAAGATACCTGTGCATATACCTTACTAAACTATCAGAACTAGACCTCCGTGAGGATGGTATGAGGGCCTGATGTCCTTTAGTGGGACTGGCTTGATAAATGTAGACCAAAGCACTTCAGAACTGCAGGTCTGCCACTGGGACTCTGATCTCTTCACAGATGAGAGCACATGTGACAGGCATGAAAGAGTCTGGAGAGCCACTCTTTCATGCAAACATAGTTGATGGGAAGATGAGCATTTAGGGAGCCAAAGCTTCCCACCTTCAATCTTTGAAGCACTACAACAGGTTGTTAGTGGGAGACATTGCTCATCATCTCACTGCTGGTGGAAGAAACAAGACAGATGTAGATTTCTATACATTGATTTGCATTAAGCCACATTAGAATTCAGGCACTGGCACTGGAAGGCATTTCATCACTCGGCAGGATCATGATCCTGAAAATAGAGCGGGAAAAGGAAAAAAAGAAAAGAAAAAAAAAAAACAAGAAAAAAACAAAACAAAAAACCCACAAACCAAAGAGCTGAAGGGGAAGAGGTGGAGAAACATTCTCGACTGGCTGAGTCAGTCACCTGATCTGAATCCAAATGAGTGCCCAGAGCTGGATGTGGCTGTGGGGAAGCCTAGGAGAGCATCACTGACTGCACAGCATTTTCCCCATACAGTAACCACAATGATGCACACATTTCTGTCTGACCTCCTCAAATTAGATCCCAGATTTTAATGGCACCTGCTGTCACTTTACCAGTTTTTGGTTGTTTTTAATTCAGCCTACATCACAAAAATTGCTGACTTCTCCAAAACGTCTTTGATTTGTATTTCTGAACAGCAACAGATGTAATGTAGCATATTATTGAAACTTCAAAAACAAGTCAGTCAGACACGGCTGCTCTTTGCACTTTATAAAAAACGTACTCAAAAGACTGCTTTATTAAAAGAAAATAAAAGAAAACACGGCATTGTTACAGGTTAAAACAACAGGAAACTCAACGTTTCAGCTTGTTTAATCAAACACTGGCCTCCTTTGAGAGGACATAAAATCAGATTTTTAACGCACTGGAATACAAACCTGCAGACTACAACAACTCTTAAGGTTAAAAAGAAACAAAGAAAAAAAAAAGAAGACATTTTCATAGTCTTCTTAAACAGTATAAACACCCCTCCGGTCTGCAGATATACCTGACATGACAAGCATTTGTTTTGTGAAAGATGGTGCTGAGGCGAAGTCTTTTCTCCACACTGCGGGACGCACTCACAGAGACGGCCGCATGTACTTCTGATCATTTGAGTTAGTTGTAGATGAAGTTAAACCTGTAAAAAAAACAAAAAAAAAAACAAAAAACAGATAGTGATTATTACAAAATCAATGCCAGTTAGAACCATGTTGACAAAGAGCTACTTTGATGATAAGAGCATCTTTTCCAGGACAAATCTGTACATTGCAGAAGGTTTACTACAAAGGAAGTAGCTGTTTTTAACCTGGCTAGAACTAACGTGCTCAGTTATGCTCACAGTTTAGATTTAAAATCCCATCGTCATTTCTTCACAACCCCCCCCCCCAATTTGTCACATGTTTCAGATCAAACTAATTTTAATACTAGACAAAGAGCAAATATAAAATGCAGCTAATAACGCGATGATTTCATGTATTGAGGGAAAGACCAGCTCGATTACATCACAGCAGGACACCGAGGGCCGTTCACATCCGAAGGCTCCCTCGAAAGTGACCTACAAATGTGTCCTCTTCCCGGGCTTTCAAGGATATGCTGAGCGCATCCCTCATAGCCCACCTTATCCCAAGTTTCATTGTGTGCCACCGGCTGTGGGCTCATCACTACCTGTTAGTGTCATGGTTGCTAGGCAACAGAAGCAGCACACGAGAGGCTAAGCCGCCTCATTTAGCAGCAGCTCTGGTCGGCCTTTGAAGGGCGCAGCCGCTGAATTGGGACGTAGCTATAAGAAAAATATGTTCAACCCACTGAGCCATACCTCATCAACACAAGCTAATGAAGCTCCTCTGTAAGGTTGCAGCAGCACAAACTGTGTGCATCGCTTTGTCACTGGAATTTGTGTCAAGTTAGTGATGCATAAAAGTTTATACTCGTGCCTTTTACCAAATGGAAATTCCAGCCATTGGGACACAGATTTGAAAATCGATGGGTTACATTTGTAGGCCATTTATCACTGAGAATATTCAGCTCCGTTTACCATGTTATATAAACTATAGGCACTTTGAAGCCTTATTTATTATGGTATAGAAGACTATCATAACTAAACACACCAAGCAACATAAAGTCTTACAGATTGAGAGGTCAAATGTGCAGCTGACACATTAAAGGATCATTATGGTCGCCCGATTGGTTGTTTGGTACACAAACAGTGCCGTGCCATTTATCCTGGCGCTGAGGCCACGGGTGTTTTTAGCTGCAGATGAAACCTTTTCCCAGTGTTTTCCAGAAAGTCTTTTCAAGCTGGTGCAACATCTGAGCTTCTGCGATTCAAAAGCGGTAAAAACTAACACAAACATGCACTCATCTCTTCAACCACCCCATAGCAAACATGCAAGGTTACAAAAATTGACATATGCACATCACACTGATGTCACATCTGTTTGTGCACAGCTTGCACAAACAGATGTGACATCACTTTGCGTGGAAGACAATGTTACATAAAGAAAAATGCAGCCGTTAGAGCGCACGGATTGGTAAAATAAATATATTACCTCAAGAATTCAAATACATAATGATCTTCTGCAGCATCAATCTCTTGTCTAATTTGCAGGAAAAGTCTTCCATTTTGCTGTTATATGTTTTATCACCTGTTGTGTTGATAATGTCTCTGATCGGAGTGCAAACTTTGTGCATTTGTGCACACTGCCAGCGACCAGAAAGAAACCCTGCTATGTAATTTCACAGCACATCCCTCTGCTCTGAGGAATCCCTGCATCACTCGAAAACATTGCAGTTCTATTTTCTGTCCAAACGCATGCAAAAGTTCTGAACATTACCTGCTCAGCAGCTGTGGTAGACTGGAAATGATCGGTCCATATCCAGGAGCGTTGTCATACAGTTCAAACAACGGTGCAGCCACCAGTTTATAGTTTTTGGGCACAGCAAACAGTGCTGTACAAACATCAAACACAGATTTCAGAAACAACCAAAGAGACTCATCTAAGTCTTTACTTATTTTAATTAAGCATCAAAGAAATTTTGAGATACACTGACCTTTTTCCTGCAACTGGACCAGGAACAGCTTCTTATGCTCTTTAGGTTTAGTGATGTGAGCTGGAATATAGGGATACTGCAGGGCAAAAACTTCAGATTAGTTCACATCAAGATGTAGATGTGACAATATCCAACATGACTGATATAAAAATGAATCTAATATTAATTTCAGTCATTCTGTTGAACTGTCCTTCTTCCAGGGTGGAATGATTGTAATGCATACATCTGTTGATATGCAGTGAAGTTGAAGAATTTGGAGGTGGTCCTCTTTCTTCATCATTTCATCTTTGCACAGTGTAGCAGTACCACTGGCAAACTTGTGACAACTGTATGTATATTCTTGGATGTAGAGCAATGTTTAAATTGAGCCTAATGTTTATTCCAAGTTTCTTCCTCACAGTAAGAATTACATGGCCCTGTACTCAGTATAGGCTAATACCTGAAGCCAAGGTATCTGTATCGGATCAGATCTGGAAAAGGTTGGCTTGATGCATCCCTAGTTAAAGTATCATAAATATCCTTCTGATCATCTTCTTTGTACTGACCTGTGGAGGCTCAAAGTTGGGGCGCCACCAGTTACCAATACAATCATCGATCACCCAGTCCTGCTTCACACCATCCTGCCGTCCAAGGATCTAACAACAAATTTGAAGTTGATACACA